TCAATAATTTAGGGACAGAGAAAGCCAAAAGCAGAGCCTACAGGATATTGATGTGGATATTTATAAATTAATAGATACACAGGAGATTATAGGAGACTGTAGATGCACACACATAATGAATGTGATGTCATAGCTTAATGGAACAGTTCAGACAGTAAACTGTTCCCTTCCCCTCCCTTAGTCTAAATGTAGGTTATCAACAAAGGTTGATACAACACCGTGCAAACTACACACCTAAATCATCGCACACATGCCTTAATAGCGATCATTTAGTTTATTAAGTTGTACCCCTTGTATTTTTTTGCCTTTAGGGTTCAAAATTACAAGAAGCAATTTGAGTAAAAAAATAAGTAGTAATTTTGGTAAGAAAAGTAAACTTAATAGAGAGGACTCTGTAGAAGACCGATCTTCAAGCAACGCCGTGCTTGTTGACGATACAAGCACGCATAGTCCCTGTCATGTATAATGTGTTAAGTAATCTCAATGACCAGACAGGGGTGTAATCCTCACTCACTTCTCCAATTATTCCCTCAGTCAATACCCTGCCTTTGTGTAGAGTGGCAGAATACAAATGCTCTTGTTACAAACGCTCTTGTCATCACCGAACATGTTGAAACCCCACACCTCCCTCCTTACCAACTTTTCTCCAGTACCATCAAATTTTGGTTCCTGCACTATAGCAGCATGTTCACGTTATTTTTGATATCATGACCGTTTACACCACATGCTAATGTTTGCTAGGTGTACTCAAGTTAGCACCTGTTTGTTTGTTTGTTTGTTTGTTTGTTTTTCACACATACACACACACACAGTCTATATTTACATGCACATCAATATTCCAATATGAATGAATCGGAATTTGGCAAGATTTTATTTAGTATTGAGTTATGCAAAACACCGCAAAAAAAAAAAAAAAACATTTTCAGATTAAGACAATGTTCTGGTTCCAGAAATTCTGATTTCCACCCCTGGATTATGCCTGTTTTTTAATCAGAAATTTGCTGCATGTAAACACCTTAGTCTGAAAATCCAGTGAAAGGAGGTTTATGCGCATGCTCAGTCCGCAAGGAATTGTGGGTAGCAACGGCGGCATCTCGAATCTCCCAAGAAACAACAGCAGGAAAGGAAAAGCACGTGTATACTTACGACAACCTCGTATACAGGAATATTCCGATGCCTGTGCGCTTATACACATCGTATTCAGTATATGGTTGCAACCCGAATATAGACCTTAAACGGAATTTGATGTGCATGTAAACGTAGTTACAGACTCTTTAAAAGAGACTTTCATTCATAACCAGATGTGCGAAGTATACGCTCAGTGTTGTCCTTGTGCCCCTGACTATTCCGTGCCATTTTGTTATTGATCGATTCTCGGTTTGACCTGTTTTGTTTACTGTCCTTTTCTATGCGTAGTTAATACTGTTTGCGGATGGCCTGACTATGGCCTGTTTGACCGTGAACCTGCCTCTTAATTGAACATGGTTAAAAAATAAATAAATAAATTTAATCCCTGACTCTGCAGGCAAGGACAATCACCTCATTTTTTTTCTCTTTGTTTTTTCTTCAGACAATATATTTTAGTGGTAGCTATGAGGATGTAAAGACTCAAATCTCTTTCAGCGGCTTTCTGCCTCTGCCATCGACAACTCTTTTTCCCCTTCATTACACTTAATAGAGGAAAGTTACCCATGCGATCCTCCAAATAAAGCAGATGTCTATGACGTGAATACTTCACTTCAACTCAATTGAATTTCAGCAGAGCACAGCAGCGTGCTCTGCTGAATGTGAAGAGAGTTCAGACTTTATGCTTTCGGTGTCATCCCGAGGAACGTCACCGGAGCCACGTTGTTTCTCTTTGCCATGCTTCGACATATTGACCAGCAGTTAAATCTTGCCATGACTCGAAAGTGTGCCGGTTTAATGGGACCATTAGCAAAGGAAGATTGTGGATAATGTTCTGTTACAGATGACAAGCAATCGATCTGATCTTAGCTGTCACCTTTCTTATGAAATGAGATCAGTTGTGGTTCTGCTCTATTTATCGATCAAGTCCACTGGCACTTCTGCTTTTGTAAATAAGACTGAGGGCTTAAACAGGATGTTTCTTGTGTTTAAAAATGACAGGTTATAGTCCCTATGTATACATCCCACTAGGAACATTGGTTAGAATATGTTAAATCATACTTGAAATAAGGATTAAAACGCAACAGATGTGCTGTTCTAGGAAACCTTACGGTTCCAACGTGCTGGCACTGGAGACTTCTTCCTTAAATGTAAAATAAACAGCTTGGATAAATAGCAACAGTGTTGTTGTTGTTGTTGTTTTTGTTTGTTTTTTTCCAGTTTGTTATAATCCTTAGTTTATGCTCAGTGTCTGCCAGTGAATTAGTTGTTACTATAGAAAGGATAACAGATTAGAACAAGCACATTAATAGAAACAAAGTTATTTTACAAGAAAATAACATTACCATTGTAATTTATTAGTGCTTAGTGGTTAGAACATTTGCGATGGGTCGGCACCCTGTCTAGGGTGTCCCCTAAATTTTATTAAGATCTAGTTGATTGCTTCCAATATGTGCTTGTATTTAAAAAAAATAATAATAATAATTATATATATATATATATATATATATATATATATATATATATATTTATTTATTTATTTATATATTTATTTATTTATTTATTTAACCATGTAATGGACTTTTGTGAGATATATATCTCACAAAAGTCTATTACATGGTTTACCACAATATTGATCGTATAATCGCCATGCAAACTATTTCAGTTTGACCTTTATCAGAAGTCCAGTTCTTCTTCCCAGTATGATGCGGCTTGTGCGTTGTACAGGACAGATCTCCTTTTGGCTTTTCTTTACCCAGGACCATGGCTTGCATCTGGAATGCCATGCAGCTGGAATTTTGATATTCGGGACAGTATATAAAGTGCCAGGTTCACAAAAGGCCCACCGAGAGTAAGTGTCAGGGCTCAGATCGTTTCTCCAATGCAGACAAGGCAGCATGCCCTTGTTGTCTGTATTGATCAAGCCCAAATCAGCACTCTCTCTTTTGTCTGTTTAATAAACCAGGTGATCTTTTTGCCTGATAGTGCCCACTTAAAAAAAAAACAACAACAACAAAAAAAACACAGCGGAAAATAGGAGCCAATTGCCAATTCAAGTTAATAGAGGGTATTTTTGAGAGAGAGAGAGAGAGACCACAGGAGAGAGGGGTTGCTTACCACAGACAAATAAAGGCACATCTCCAAAGCTGTTTTGTCGATGGCGAATGAGATGTTGTTACAGCTGGACTCATATGCTGCATTAAGGTACAATGACCCAAATAAATGGTAAAAGAACATAGTGTGGCAATATGCCTAGAACATACCATTTATTGATCATGGCATTGAAGATAATTGGAAAAGGCTGTAATAATGTGTAGGCCACGCTGGAATACAGATACAGTCAACTCTAGAATAATATGAGCCCTTTTTAAAAAAATTACAAAAACGTGTATATATACTGTATGAAACAAATACATACAATAAATGAGATTTTGAGTTTTACACATAATTATGCTGTATAGTTTTTTAAGAATAACGGCACTTACTTACTTCCTGTAATGTCTAATAAGGTTAGAGACCAGTGTTAAAGGGATCTTGACCCCTCCTCCAAGCACAACATTTAAGCTTCTTTATTTTATTCTGTATGTGCACGTGTGCAGGCGTATATCGTTCATACCATTGGTTTTCGATAGGTTTCAAATCCAGAGACTGAGACGCCTGTCAGAAAACACTGATTTTATATCCACCAAACAACCACTTAAGATTAAATCCTGGTAGATGTAACCTCGTTTTGGCTAGAGTAAACTGGTACAAGCGAATTCAAGATGCTATTCAAGATAGGAAAAACATCACTCCTGCTTTACTGTATGACCAAATTCATTACTCACAATTTACATTTGTTTACAGGTTTACAAGTTAGAAGCACATAATTGTATACGATGTGTTGTTATGCCATAGCATTAAGATGTACCTTCATTGGTATTAACGGGTGCAAACATGTTCCAGCATGACAATGCCCCTCTGCACATAGCGAGGTCTATGAAGGCCAAGGTTGGCCAAGGTGGAAGAACTCAGGTGGCCTGCACAGAGCCCTGACCTCAACCCCACTGATTACCGTCTGGATGAACTGGAATGCAGACTGCACCCCAGACTTTCTCACCCGACAAATCCTCACATCCATGCTCCGGAATCTAGAGGAAAGACATTTCCTGAGAAGTGAAGGCTAACAACAATTCGGGGATGAGATGTTCAGTAATCACATACTAATGTTATGGTCAGGTGTCCGCAAACATTTGGCCATGTAGTGAATCATTCTTCACAAAAGCCATGAACCACCATTCCAAAAATAACAGTAAAAGAGAGAAAGGGTATATGTATTTTTATTTATTAAAAAAAAAAAAAAAGGAAAAGATATGAATGCTGTTGGTGAGATGAAGGTGCCTCAGAAGGCAGCATTTTATGTACACATAAAGAAGCAGGCAGACGGCTTCGTCTCACTCACTCTCATCCTCTCATGGCTGGAAACTTTAAGGTTTTTGGTTTTGATTGAGCAGCTAATTTAAAAAGCTCCCTCTGAGGAGGCAGACGACAGTGAGGGGAGGATGACTAGGAAGAGCAGAATAGAGATGTGCGCTTCAGTGAAATATCATCTTTTCCATTTAAGATTGAATGACCTCTCAGTGGAGCTGTTGAAAACAGATCTTTCATATATTCTCAGGGAGCTGGAAGCGAGCCAGCAGGTGATCTGGATGACAAGAATATAATTCGTTGTTTGTTGCCAAAATTTAAATTTCTTACCAGAGGGAGTCTTCTAGACGGAAGCCGTAAAGACAAAAGAAAAATGGGTGTTTTTTGAGTTCATGGAATTAGCATGCTTATATCTTATTTTATTTAAATGTTGTATTTAATCTATGCAATTAATATGTTACAAATGGGGGTGGGTGGTGGCTTAGTGGTTAGCATGTTTGACTCACACCTCCAGGGTCGAGGGTTTGATTCCCACCTCCGCCCTGTGTGCGTGGAGTTTGCATGTTCTCCCCGTGCTTCGGGGGTTTCCTCTGGGCACTCCAGTTTCCTTCCCCAGTCCACAGACCTGCACAGTAGACTGGAACACAATCACAAACCTGTGCCCCAAGTCCCATGCGATAGGCTACAGGCAGGCTTCCCCTTGACCCTCTGTAGGATAAGCGGTACAGAAAATGGATGGATGTTACAAATGGAGTTTTGTTCTCAATTCATGCATTCACTGATTCCCTTAAACCTTTTTCTTTATTATCTTTCTGTCCACAACTCCAGATGGGTTTTTATAAAGGAGTAGCCGGTTCGCAGGTGACTCTTTCCAGTCTGGTGAACCAGAGCAAGGCCATGCTGGACGAACAGGCCAGACACCTCCTAACTGAGCCTGAGAGACAGACCATGAGCTATTACATCCAGGAATATCGCAACGGACACGTTGGGGTCGAACAGCTGGTCATGGCATTGTTTGAGCTCTTCAACACACATGCCAAGGTTTGTCTATGTGAAAGGTTTTATTGATTGTCTTGCTTCTGCAATCTAGTGGCTACATCCCTTAATCCTCTTGTGATCCTTGGATCAGTTCCACCCTGTAACCATCACATCCATTTGATTTCCAAACACTCAGATATTTACTACTAATAGTATAAGCTGTGATTTCATTTTCCTCATGGAATATATAGACAATCTCTTTGTTGACTCTCAGCGGAGTACATCTCATACTAAAATCATAGATAGCCTTAAATAAGCCACAACTTTGCTTGTTAGTGTTATGTTGAAGGTACAGTTTACCTCAGAACCAGCATTAGTCCTTGCCAAGTTTCAAATCTACTCACAGATTACTTCTTGATTTTGTTCAAGGATCCAACTGGGTCCAAATCATAACCTCGTGACAGAGACAACCAGGTTTTGACCAAAGCATGCTGGTACAACACAATTAAAGATGCTACACTATATGGCAAAGAGCTTGTGGCCACCTGACCATTACATCCTTATGTGACCCTTCACCAAACTCTTGCTGCAAAGTTGAAAGCACACAGTTGTATCGGATGTGTTAATATGTTGTAACATTACAATTTCCTTTCACTGGAGCTAAGGAGCTCCAAAATGTTCTAGTATGACAGGTCCATAAAGACACGGTCTGCCGAGGTTGGAGCGGAACATCCAGAACATCCGGAACAGCACAGAGCCCTGATCTCAACCCCACTAAATACCTTTTGGGATGAACTGGAATGCTGACTGCACCCCAGGCCTCCTTGCCGAATACCAGTGCCTGACCTCACTAATGCTCTTGTGGTTGAATGGACAAATCCCTACAGCCAAGCTCCAAAATCTAACAGAAAGCCTTCCCAGAAGAGTGGAGGTTATTATAACAGCAAAAGGGGGACAAAATCTGGAACGAGATACAGCAAGCACATATAGGTGTGACGGTCAGGTGTCCACAAATTTTTGGTCAGATAAAGTATGACACATGAATTTAATCAGTATACACGTAAGAAACGCTTATAGCTATGCGTTCATTAGCAGTTGCATAGACCAGTCCACTAGTTGAAAAGGACATGTATTGTGCTGCAGGGTGCACATCATTACCCCCAATCCCACTTGGGCCACTTTTGAGGATGGCTGTCGCGCTAATTTAGAGCGCTTCAAACTCATTTCGAACATTTTGTGCAGTCGAACATGATGGTTCAACTCCCGGGTCATTAGGGACTTTAAGCAGCAGCTGCGAATGGAATGGCTACGGCGACCGGAAGCAAGCTGTTACACCGCCGTAGCCGAGAACATAAAAATCACTAAGCAACCGTAAACAAGACGGCACAACGCAGCATCCAGTCATTTATGAAAACACTCCCAGACTCTACCGTAGACATAGCTTGCTCCCTTTAAGGAAGGTTGCTCATTGAGGTTTAAGAAGGGCTTTGTTGATGGACGTGATCTTCCATGCTGCACAGTATCAGTTTCAGAGCCAGTGGTTTCAGGTCATATACAGGAGTGAGTGCGTTTTAAGAATTGGTCCATCCTTAAATAGGGCAATATGATACACACGTTTTATCATTTTGCACCCCTAGTCCGCATCAGAACACACTCGCCTCAAACCTCATTGATTTGTCAAATAGATGTTCTTGCGTGGCTTATGAGACTGCAGTGTTACATCATATACTTTAAAACTGCTTTGTCAGCCATCTTGAAGCCGGGGTCACATTCTCACTCGGCACATACGCAGGTTTTTGTTACGGTTTAGCCGCTATTGGAAATGATAAAGAAAGAAGAAGTAAACAAGTGTTTCAGCTAATACTTAAGTCTTTGTATTTATGGACTTAATTATCCACTCGCAGATTCTATTTGACACTTTACTTCTACGTTTTGTATCATACATAAAATAATTTCAGCCATCTTTAAAGCATATGGATTGTGTGTGTGTGTATGTGTGTGTGTTTTGGCTGCAGTTCTCGCTGCTGTCTGAGATGCGCGGGCTGGTCAGTGCACAAGATCTGGAGAGTTTTGATGCACTGGTTCTCCGCAGGGAGATTGAAGCTCTGAAGGCTCGACAGGGAGCAGCTGGAGGAGCAGCATTACACACAGACTCCTTCTCAATGGTGTCCTATCCCGACACACTGGCCTCCTCCTCAGGCAGCTACATGACCAGTACCACACTCAGCTCTGCACGGGTATGAGGAGCAGTGTGTGTGTGTGGGTATAGGTTTGTGTGCATACAATATCTCACAAAAGTGAGTACACGCCTCACGTTTTTGTAAATATTTGATTACATCTTTTCATGTGACGACACTGAAGAAATGACACGTTGCTACAATGTAAAGTAGTGAGTGTAGAGCTTGTGTAACAGTGTAAATTTGCTGTTCCCTCAAAATAACTCAATACACAGCCATTAATGTCTAAACCGCTGGCAACAAAAGTGAGTACACCCCTAAGTGAAAATGTCCACATTGGGCCCAATTATCCATTTTCCCTCCCTGGTGTCATGTGACTTGTTAGTGTTACAAGATCTCAGGTGTGAATGGGGAGCAGATGTGTTAAATTTGGTGTCATCGCTCTCTCACTCCTTCATACTGGTCACTGGAAGTTCAACATGGCACCTCATGGCAAAGAACTCTCTGAGGATCTGAAAAAAAGAATTGTTGCTTTACATAAAGATGACCTAGGCTATAAGAAGATTGCCAAGACCCTGACACTGAGCTGCAGCATGGTAGCCAGGACCATACAGTGGTTTAACAGGACAGGTTCCACTCAGAACAGGCCTCGTCATGGTCGACCAAAGACGTTGAGTGCACGTGCTCAGCGTCATATCCAGAGGTTGTCCTTGGGAAATAGACATATGAGTGCTCCCAGCATTGCTGCAGAGGTCGAAGGGGTGAGGGTCAGCCTGTCAGTGCTCAGTGTTGCGGCAACCAGGTGAGGAGTACAAAGACAAGTGTGTCTTGCCTACAGTCAAGCATGGTGGTGGTAGTGTCATGGTCTGGGACTGCATGAGTGCTGCCGGCACTGGGGAGCTATAGTTCATTGAGGAAACCATGTATGACAACATGTATGCCACATCGCTTTGCTTATTTGTAAGTCGCTTTGGATAAAAGCGTCTGCTAAGTGAATAAATGTAAATGTACTGTGACATACTGAAGCAGAGCATGATCCCCTCCCTTCAGAGACTGGTCCGCAGGGCAGTATTCCAGCATTATAACGACCCCAAACACATCTCCAAGACGACCACTGCCTTCCTAAAGAAGCTGAGGGTGAAGGTGATGGACTAAACCCTATTGAGCATCTATGGGGCATCCTCAAACGGAAGGTGGAGGAGCACAAGTTCTCTAACATCCACCAGCTCCGTGATGTCATCATGGAGGAGTGGAAGAGGACTCCAGTGGCAACCTGTGAAGCTCTGGTGAACTCTATGCCCAAGAGGGTTAAGGCAGTGCTGGAAAATAATGGTGGCCACACAAAATATTTTCACACTTTGGGCTAAATTTGGACATTTTCACTTAGGGGTCACTTAGGGGTGTACTCACTTTTGTTGCCAGCGGTTTAGACATTAATGGCTGTGTGTTGAGTTATTTTGAGGGGACAGCAAATTGACACTGTTACATAAGCTGTACACTCACTACTTTACATTGCAGCAAAGTGTCATTTCTTCGTGTCGTCACATGAAAAGATATCATCAAATATTTACAAAAATGTGAGGGGTGTACTCACTTTTGTGAGATACTATATGTACAGAATATGTATATACTGTGTGTGTGTGTGTGTGTGTGTGTGTGTGTGTGTGTGTAGGTTTTTATTTAAGAGTGTGTAGGTGTTTGCTGTGTGTGTGTGTGTGTGTTTTGGTTTGTGTGATTATGTACAATATATGTACATACTGTGTGTGTGTGTGTGTGTGTGTGTGTGTGTGTGTGTGTGTGTGTGTGAAGGTTGTTTATGTAAGAGTGTGTAGGTATAGTTCTCCGTGTGTGTGCATATGTACAGTATATGTATATAGTGTGTGAGTGTGTGTTGGATCCCACGATAAGTATATTGTATTGTGTAAATAAATGATACACATATGTGATAGGATGTTTGCTAAGAGAGGGGTTTAGCCTCTTTCTTATAATGATTGTGCGTGTGATTGTGTGCATCTGTGTGTCAGCTGGTCAAACTCTGGTGGTAGGTAAAAACTGATTCAGAGTCGTGCAGAGTGTGTGGGTGTAACAGATGGATAAGTTTTGAGTTCCTGCTGAATTTTATAGCCTGGAATACCAAATCCTCGATTTTAGATACCGTTTAACACCCAGTATTCCGTCTGCATCCAATTAGGAGCGACTGCTGTGGTTGATTGATATGATGGAGGTAGGACACAGATACAGATGTGTTTGCAGTGGCCTGACTTCTTTCTTTCCACATCGCACTCTCTCTCTCTCTCTCTCTCTCTCTCTCTCTCACACACACACACACACACATATGCTTGTCTTACTATTCTTTTGAGCACCTTAAATTAATATACTTACTAATACTGCTAATTAATGCTATGCCTAAACTTAACCCTAACCCTAATCTTAACCTCAGTAACCAACTCTTTTAGTGTGTGTGTGTGTGTGTGTGTGTGTGTGTGTGTGTGTGTGTGTGTTATATCCGTTTTCTCATGGGGACCAGGCAAATGTTCCCACAAGGTCAGGATTTTAAAAATTTCAGATCTTTGTGGGGACACTTTGTTCCCAGCAACATACAAACCCACCTCCACATGTACTGTACATGTACTCACACATGTACTGTACAAACACTTGGTTTTGTCTTATGTTTGAATATTCTCCTTTCTGTCTTTAATATTTTATATTCTCACACACACACACACACACACACTGCACAGTACACACATTTAAGCACTACTCAAGCTGGATTAGTTTTACCAGAGGATGTTCGGTAATTTGATTTGTAAGGGATTTGGCTGATTCAGGCATGATAAATATGTGTAATTAGCCCAGACTGGTACGTCATACACTCTCAGAAATAAAGGCACCAAACTGGACTTGTCTCTGGTGTTGTGCCATCAAGGGTATATCTATTGGTACATAATTGGACCATAGGAACCACAGACTGATGCAGTCCCCTCCACTAATATCGGCACCCTTGGTAAATATGAGCAAAGAAGTCTGTGAGAAATTGTCTTTATAGTTTCATTTATTTGTATTTTTTATCCTTTTGTTCAAAACATTCATGCAAATAATCTGCTCTCATTGATATCAAATAATTTCAAACACAACACAAGCTTATCCCAAAATAAAAATATAATGTATATATATATATATATATATATATATATATATATATATATATATATATATATATATATATATATATATATATATCTTTGTTAAGTATAGGTGTGCAACAATTATTGGCACCCCAAGAATTCATATGAGAGATTTATATTCCCATTGATATTTAAAAATAATAATAATAATAATTTGTACAGCTGAGTGACTAGTAGATTGTTCAAACATGACTTCCTGTTTCACAGGGGTATAAATATGAGGTAACACATTGGCCACATTCCCTTAGTCATTCATAACAATGGGTAAGACCAAGGAATATAGCTGTGATGTGCAGCAAAAGGTTGCCGAGCTTCACAAAATAGGAAGTGGCTATAAGAAAATAGCACACATATTGAAAATGCTAATTTCTACCATCAGGGCAATAATTAAGAAGTTCCAGTCACATGGAAATGTTGTGAATCAACCTGGAATTGGACGTGTGTCTGTATCGTCTCAACACACTGTGAAGAGGACGGTTCGAGAGGGCAAAAACTCTCCAAGGATCACAGCTGGATTTTTTTGAATTGCAGAATTGCAGAAGTTAGTTGTGTCTTGGGGTAAGAAAGTCTCCAATACTACAATCTGAAGTCACCTACATCACCACAGGTCGTTTGGAAGGGTTTCAAGAAAAAAGCCTCTACTCTCATCCAAAAACAAACTCGGGCGTCTTCAGTTTGCCAGACACTACTGGAACTTCAAATGGGATTGGGTTCTGTGGTCAGATGAAACCAAAACAGAGCTTTTTGGTAATAAACACGAGAGGTGGTTTTGCCACACACAGAGAGGTAGCCATATGGAAAAGTAACTCATGCCCACGGTTAAATATGGTGGAGGCTCTTTAATGTTTTGGGACTGTTTTTCTGCCAGAGGACATTGACATTTTGGTAGGACACATGGCATCATGGACTATCAGATATCAACAGATATTAAATGAAAAACTGACTGCCTCTGCCAGAAAGCTTCAAATGGGCCGTGGTTGGATCTTTCAGCAGGACAATGATCCAAAACATACATCAAAATCAACACAAAAATGGTTTACTGACCACAAAATCAAGGTCCTGCCATGGCCATCCCAGTCCCTTGACTGTGTGTTGAACTGAAGAGGAGAGTCCACCAGCATGGACCTCGAAATTTGAAGGATCTGGAGAGATTCTGTATGGAGGAACAGTCTCAGAACACTTGCCACGTATTCTCCAACATCATCAGGCATTATAGAAGAAGACCCAGAGCTGTTATCTTGGCAACGGGACGTAGCACAAACTATTGGCTTAAAAGGTGCCAATAAATAAACAAACTAATAATCACAGAACAGGTGAACACAATCAGGTAGCACGCCATGGATAGGGCAGGGTTGAAGACATGACTTGAACCCAAAATGGAACAATATGAGAGCAGAGAGGTGCAATTTGTGACACTGAGAGCGTAGCCTGGATGTACATGTCAGCGTTATGCAACACTCATGCAAAAACAACACGCCACACAGCCGTATCTATTATCAGGTTCAGCTATTACATTACCATAAGGTCAACACGAACATGACTGTTATTACTGAAAGCGCTCTGTATTCCGTAAAATACAGAAGGTCATTTGGTCCAGGAATTCTAACTTTTCAGACTTGTCAGAACAACAGGTGCAGCCGTTGTGTGCTGAATTAAAATCACGGCTAATGCCGTTATGCCAAGTAAAACGTATCCAGCTCAAATAGGACTGTATTTGAATGCTAAGATTATACCGTATGGAATGGCATGAGCCACATGTGTGTGCTTTATAGAGGTGCTCTGTTTCTCTACAGAGTGATATACACTTTATTTCGTTCTTGTATGTAGAGATGGGTGACAAATTAAAGGAAAAACCAACATAACGTATCATGTTTGGTCACCTTGAGCCACAGCTTCAGTGGTGTTTTGATGATGATGGTGGTGGTGTTCAGTCAGGAAATTGTGGTGTTTATTTCATCAGGATGGAAATGTTTCGGCATGGGATTAAGATGATCAGTAAGAAGGACTTACTTACTGGCAGTGATGCTTCTTTTTAAGTGGCGACACACCATACCAGCAAAATGAATCCTACAGCAAAACCGAGCCAGTGGTTTTTTCCATTAGTTTGTCACCCATCTCTATATAGTATATATATGTGTGTGTGTGTGTGTGTGCAATTTTTTCTTTCAACCTAATCTTTATATTTCAAATCTTTTGTGTATGTGCATTTAGCACAGATGAAGAATAAAACTGAAACCTGTTTACTGTAAATAAACACAGATGCAGTATATTCAAAACTGTTACACTCTAACAATAAAGCTCCAAGACAGACATGAGAGAAAATCTTACCTCTATATATATTTTTATATATATATATATATATATATATATATATATATATATATATATATATATATAAATTATTATTATTTTTGCAGTTTTGCTTACTTTTTTTGGTATTGTTTATTTATTTATTTTTATTAAATTATAAATAGACCAGAGACAATGTATTGGATTATTTTTAGTCTTTTAATATATTACATATTTTACAGATTTCAATCTTAAATATTGTAAATTTTTTGTAAATGAAAATTTGTTCAATCTAAAATTGAAAGACATGAAATATAGCATAAGTTACACAGATTCCTTAAAGCAACTTTCTGGTAGGGTTTATTAGGTATGTGCATGTGAGCAAGATTGTCTCCAAATGTCAAAGAGTGTACTGTATTTTTGAACTTGTATCTCTTCTCCTGCTCGTTATTGTGGTCTTGTCGGACCGCTCTACAAGCTGCCAGTCTGAAATCTAAACAGCATTAGCAACAGTGAAGCGCAACCTTGGCAACGCACTTCGCTTCCCTCTGGGATTCGCACACGGTGATCAGATTGGCACTGCAGTCAGAGTTCCGCGGCCCTCGAGCCAAAAAACAGAGCACACATCTGTCACGTCCTATACGGCTTTCTGACAAAAAAGAGTTCTAAGGGAAAACTTCCAGCTTTTCGCTCCGCTGGAGCTCAACTGGAGATAGTGCACTAGAATTTCACACATAAGATTAAGAGAAGGAGGAGTGAGAGCTTGCGGAGGGAGCTAGAGGGACAGATTGGCTGAATTCATGCATAGAAGGTGAGAGACGTGACATAAGAGACGTGTTTGTTCAAGTAAACTTCTAAACAAAATTACTCGCTATTCATCCAGTGGGAAAGTCTGCATACCCTTTATGTGTTATGTTAATAAATTCTGAGAGTGTCAGCTTTTAAAATTAGTCTCTAAACTCCATACATTTTCCCATAAGTTTATCAGCTCCACGACAAGGGTTTTTTTTTTTGTTTAGTTTTTTTTTTTAAGTCCCTCATTCAGTCTGGTGAAATACCAGCAGAAACCCCTGCTATAAAACTCTGTCAGCAGATAATGTTAAACTATCACAACTGGGCATTTGTCTCTGATTTGTGCAAAGACCACATCGGCCTCTCTTACCATTACCGTTTATGAAAGATCTCACATGCTGATCCAAGAAGCGAATAACAAAAACCATCAAAAGCACTGAAGGATCATTTCTACCTTAAGAGGGTTCCAGTGACACCAGTGTCATCCGTACGTCTGTTTTAATTAAAATGTTCACAAGGAGCATTACCATAAAATCAAGCAAACATCCACCTACTCCAACAAGCAGGTCTTTGAAGCTAAATGCAAATGAATTAGCCATGAGTGCTTCCTATACTTGCACTGAGCAAGCAATTAGAGGTAATTGATGGGGCTTTTGTTTTGCTTGGGGAGAGCTTTAATGAGCAGAACTGCCGGCGTGTACTCAACGGGCTGTGAAGAGCAAATCCCAGAACCTCCCAGCCATTCCAGGCACCTCTTAATCTTAATCAGGATTCCATTTTGGGGGGGAAGAGAGAGGGATTGAATGTATACGAGCGAGTGTGCATGTTAAACAGGACAGTGCTATTGTTTTGTGATGACTCCTCTGAGGGATACATTCATCAATCCATCCATCCATCCATCCATCCGGCTTATCCTTCAGGGTTGTGGGGAACATTGAGTCTATCACAGGGAGCGTCGGGAACACCCTGGACAGGGTGCCAATCCATTGCAGGGCACAATCACATACATATTCACACACATACACTACGGACAGTGCATGTCTTTGGACCGGGGGTCGGAAACCCCCGCAGCACGGGGAGAACTTGCAAACTCCACACACACTGGGCAGCGGCGGGACTCGAACCCCCGACCCTGGAGGTGTGAGGCGAACCTGCTAACCACTAAAGCCACCGTGCGCCCCCTGAGAGAGATACAAACTCAGCTAAATGCAGTTTAGATGCTTGTTATTTTCTGACATCTTTATGCTTTCGATCTCGTTCTCAGAACGACAGTGCGGTGGAGACTAATGGAGAAGACGCCCAGGAGAGTAGAAACGCCCTTCCCGACGTCTCTCTGGTGAGCCCTGCGACACAAATTTGAGCACAGCCACATACAAGGAGCTCGGGTCAAAAAACAATGATAGCTCATGCCTGCAATAATTACACACGTGACTGCAGATTTGAGGCACGATAGAGAACCTGGAAAATGTCTTGTCAGTAATTGTGCAATGTTGTTAGCACCATAATTCCTTTTCCGGAAGTAAAATGGTCAACAAAAAGAATACCCGAGAGTCTTCTCGGCCAGTATACTCTCTACCCCGTCTGCAGCATGCTGTATATGCTAACTTGATGGACAAACATTGTAATTGTAATTGAAATCCTATCTAAGCAAAATTACTTGTAATGGAAAGGGCAGTTGTGGAATTCTGTCAGTAAACTGTACTCTGATGTTACATGCTAAACAATAGAGGTCTTGGGTTGGCCGGGGTTTTTTTTAATTTTTTTCCAAAAAAAAAAAAAAAAAAAAAAAGTTTTGCGCGCCCGTTTTTCCCCCCAAACAATTTTTTTTTCCCCCCGTCCCCCCCCCTTTAAAAAAAAAAAATTTACTTACATTTTTTTTAAAAAAAATATTAAAAAAAAATTTTTTAAAAAAATATTGAACAAACAAATTTCTGTGCGCGCTGCGCGGTTTCAGAATAGCAGCACTGACAGTACTGCCAGCTGATCTACAAATTTAAAAACATGTTGATATGCAGTCCCCTCCGAAAATATTGGAACGGCAAGGCCAATTCATTTCTTTGAGCTATCATTTCCTGGTATTTACATCTGTTCTTAAACCAGAACTAAACCAGTTGAGAAGTGGTTCCCTCCGGCGAAAAAAAAAAAAAAAAAAAAACCCAAAAAAACTTTCCCAAAAAAACAACAACAACAACTGAAAGAGGCTGCGGTAAAATCCTGGAGAAGCATCACAAAAGAAGAAACCAGCAATTTAGTGATGTCAATGAGTCGCAGGCTTGATGCAGTTATTGTTCAAGCAAGGGATATACAACCAAATATGAAGTGTTGTTTACTTTTATTTACTTCAAGACTTATCTGTTCATATACTTTTGGTTACCTAAAACTTGGGTGGTCTGATGTGCTAGGTTCTATGTCGTTTAACACATCTAGATGTAAATACTGGGCAATAAAAGTTCTAAACTCTCGTCTGATATTCATCTTTTAATCTGAAACCAAAATGTCTTCAGTCTACAGAAGAAGAAAAAAACTGAATTGCCCTTGCTGTTCCATTAGTTTTGGAGGGGACTGTATAGCAAAGTATAATCATTAATATGGGGATGTATAACCATTGATATGGTAAACATTATGTGAAGAGATATTTATTTAACGTAAAATTTATAGAAGGAGTCTCCAGTGCCAGCGTTTCGTATTTGAATACGAATTTTAATCATTGGTATATTGCTGAGGTATAAGAAGAATAAACCATTTCAGGACATGGCGTTATTGGAAAAGAATCATTTTCAGGATGGTAACACTGTGCTTGTGACGCTTTGCATCGGGCTTCATCACACCACCCCGCTGTTGATTATTTTCCAATAACAGCATGTCCCATCATGTTTTATGCCTTACTTATGTGCATCAATGTGCAATCAAACCCACTCATGAAATCTCTGAAAAGATTAATTATACAGATTTAGAGTTCAGTTAATAAATAACTTTGACGGATACTAATAAAAGCGACCGATGTAAACATTGTATATTGACGCCCCTGTGACTGCCCTAAGACTGTTCTTACATTATAAGTGAGTTTTATGTGTTTTTTTTTTTTTTTTTTTCAAATTCCAACGAAATGTCAAAATCTTTGACTATGATAATTGGACCTCATGTGCAGTAGATCGAGTTTAGCTGAAAACCTCTTGACATATTTGTGTAATGACATGGTGCGTGTGTGGTTGTGTCTTGGCTTCCTGTGTTACGAGGGCCGAGCAAGGAAGACAGGTGCTCTTTTGTCAGCATGGGTTAGGCCTCTAATGAAAACCAATCAACTCGTCACAGCCGTTTCCACGGTAACAGACACCTTCAGGCTGGCATTTGTGCGGTTGGAGTTTTCCAGTGATTTCTGAGGGCCAGGAACACCACTCCAACAGCTCACATTCACCCCTTTGATTAGTTTCTCTCTCCAGCCACTCCATCCATTCAATTTTTCTGCTCATGCCTTTTTGCTTTGTTTTCCTTCATTTTTTTCTCTTTGTTTCGTTCTATTTCTTGTTTTCCCCCTGGACGAATGAGCAAGCCGATTATTTCGCTTGTGCTGGATAATCGAGTGATTCGATGATTTGTATGTCGTGCAGTAATTCGAGATTGATGCTGTTTAAATGTGTTTGCCGATTTCAGTGTGCTTGTGTGTCTGTTCTGATAAAAGCTTGGCTACAGTTCAGAATCTCTCGTGATGTTTGTTTGTGCAAGACATGTTTTATACTTTAATTAAACATCCAATGCCCTGTTCTTCCATCCTAGGATGAGATGGGGTCAACCTCAGAATCCCCACCTTCCTTCAAGCCCCCTCCTCCCCCTCGCGTACAGCGCCGCCCCAGCCGTAAACCCGCCCCCAGCAAACGTCCCCCATCTGACTCCTCTAACTCTGACCTGCACTTCACCACCCCTTCCCACTCGCCTAGCAAAAACTACACGCAATCCAAACACCCTCCCGATGGCCCCAAGAAAGAGCCTCCATTGGCTCAGCTCTCCATGGTGGGTCAGCACTTGATTGGTCCTTTCCCGCGCGTTCAGTCCCCCAACAGATTGAAACCCCCTCCAGCACCGACAGTCCCAGCTCCTCCAGCTCCTCCTCCACCTTCGAGTCCAGAAAAACCCAAAACTACTCCCTCATCCCCGTCCTCCAACCAGCACTTTGTAATGGTGGAGGTGCACAGGCCCAATGCAGAGCCTGACGTCAATGAAGTCAGACCACTTCCCCAGAGCAGAGGTGAGGAGATGCATTACATCACACAGTTACTGGTCAAAACAGTCTAATAACTGATCTGCAGCTGTTATGCATATTTTGGAGATGAAATTTTTGAGTGAAATAGGACATTTAGGAAAGATGTATGGCTGGACCAGTTTTATACTTTGTAAAATGTGGCCATTAAAAAAACGAACATGGAATCATCTAGCTCAGCATTTTGCTCAATGATAACAGGGGATAGGTAGGGGCAGGAAGGGGGAGGAAACATGTTATTGGTTCATAGTTTTATTGGTGATATTATTGGTTCGTATTATCTTCACTCTGCATATGCATGGTGAAGTGGTCAAGAAAAAAACGTCATTGTAAATTGATGGGCAAAGCCGTTTCCTTTGAAATGACTGTAACTGATGTACGGTGCCCATTTTTAACATGCGCTTGAGGTCGTCTTTAACATTTGTCTGGTTACAGACAGCACACAGTGGCAGTATCATTCTACAGTGGTGTGAAAAAGTGTTTGCCCCCTTCCTCATTTCCTGTTCCTTTGCATGTTTGTCACACTTAAGTGTTTCGGAACATCAAACCAATTTAAACAATAGTCAAGGACAACACAAGTAAACACAAAATGCAATTTGTAAATGAAGGTGTTTATTATTAAAGGTGAAAAAAATCCAAACCATCATGGCCCTGTGTGAAAAAGTGATGTCCCCTTTGTTAAAACATACTATAACTGTGGTTGTCCACACCTGAGTTCAATTTCTCTAGCCACACCCAGGCCTGATTATTGCCACACCTGTTCACAATCAAGGCATCACTTAAATAGGAGCTGCTTGACACAGTAAGGTCCACCAGAAGATCCTTAAAAGCTACACATCATGCCGAGACCCAAAGAAATTCAGGAACAATTGAGAAAGAAAGTAATTGAGATCTATCAGTCTGGAAAGGGTTATGAAGCCATTTCCAAAGCTTTGGGAATCCAGCGAACCACAGTGAGAGCCATTATCCACAAATGGCGAAGACATGGAACAGTGGTAAACCTTCCCAGGAGTGGCCGGCCGCCCAAAATTACCCCAAGAGCGCAGCGACGACTCATCCAAGAGGTCACAAAAGACCCCACAACAACGTCCAAAGAACTGCAGGCCTCACTTGCCTCAGTTAAGGTCAGCGTTCATGCCTCCACCATCAGGAAAAGACTGGGCAAAAATGGCCTGCATGGCAGAGTTCCAAGGAGAAAACCACTGCTGAGCAAAAAGAACATCAAAGCTCGTCTCAATTTCTCCACAACACATCTTGATGATCCCCAAGCACTTTTGGGACAACATTCTGTGGACCGATGAGACAAAAGTGGAACTCTTTGGAAGGTGTGTGTCCAAGTATATCTGGCGTAGAAGGAACACTGCATTTCACAAAAGAACATTATACCAACAGTAAAATATGGTGGTGGTAGTGTGATGGTCTGGGGCTGTTTTGCTGCTTCAGGACCTGGAAGACTTGCCGTGATAAAAGGAACTATGAATTCTGCTGTCTACCAAGAGATCCTGAAGGAGAATGTCCGACCATCTGTTCGTGTACTCAAGCTGAAACGAACTTGGGTTCTGCAGCAGGACAATGATCTTAAACACACCAGCAAGTCCACCACCGAATGGCTGAAGAAAAACAAAATGAAGACTTTGGAGTGGCCTCGGCCAAAGTCCTGACCTGAATCCTATTGAGATGTTGTGGTATGACCTTAAAAAGGCCGTTCATGCTCGAAAACCCTCTAATGTGACTGAATTAGGACAATTCTGCAAAGATGAGTGGGCCAAAATTCCTCCAGGACGCTGTAAAAGCCTCATTGCACGTTATCGCAAACGCTTGGTTGCAGTTGTTGCTGCTAAGGGTGGCCCAACCAGTTATTAGGTTTAGGGGGCAATCACTTTTTCACACAGGGCCATGATGGTTTGGATTTTTTTTCACCT